GTAGAGAAGAAATACTAATAAAAGACTTTCAAGCTTAAAATATATTATATGAAGGTGGAGCACCTGGGTGGCTCATTTGATTAAGGGCCTCTTGATTTCTACTTAGGTCATGATCCTATGGTTTGGAGCCCCATGTCAGGCTCTGTGCTGACAGCATGGAGCCTGCTTGGGATCCTCCCTCCCTCTCTCTTTCTTTCTCTCTCTCTCAAAAATAAATAAACATTAAAAAATAAATTACATGAAGGTAAGATTCAGTGTAAAAAGTAGACTTTAAGAAAGCACAAAAAAAAGATAAAGTAACACTGAAAAATTATATTCTGTTGAAGATCTTATTTTAGTGTTTTCTAAACAGATATTAGTGAGTATTAAATTATCATACCATTTACATCCCACTGGAAACAGTTAACAATGTAATCGTTTCATTAAAAAATTGATACTTATTACATATTAGAAGGTATATCATTTGCAACTTTTTAGACTTAAGATGAAATTTTTGGGTGGCAATTTAACAATATGGCAGGGGGTGTATTTTTAAAGAAATTTTACAGATGTGCAACAAGCAAAAAAACTTGAAGAACACTGGTCTAGTTTTGATAACTAAAAATGGAATTGATGACCCATAAAATATGTTAAACTCCAACTCTACAAACTAATGCCAGAGGGCAGAGATACATGTACCAATTAGCATGTTAAAGCAAGGTGGTTTTTTCCATATCCTCACCAACATTTGGAATTTTCAGATTTTAAACTCTTTTTACATCTTTTTTTTTTTTTAAAGAAAATGATGGTCTATACATTGGTGTCTTGTGTTTTTAATTTGCATTTCTCTTATTACTAGTTAAATTGAGCATCTTTTCATATACTTCTCAGCCATATGAGCTTCTTTCTCTGTAGAGTGTCTATTCAAGCTTTTGCCCATATTTTTTCTTTTGGGTTGTTTTATTCTAATTGCTTTAAGATGATTCTTAATATGTTCTTGTTACTCTTTTCCAGTTATATGTATAGAAGATACTTTCTTCCAGTCCATGACATGTGTTTTCATTCTATTTATAGTGTTATGTGATAAACAGAAATTTCAGTGATTTCTTTGCATCTTATTTGAGAAATCTTTCCTTACATCAAAACCTTAAAATTTACATTGTCTTCTAAAAGTTTCCCTTTCACGCTGAATTCTTTCATCAATCTGGAATTGATTTTTGTAGCTGATATGTATGCATCCAATTCTATTCTTTCACGTGAATAAATGGTTATTAGAGCACCAATTACTAAAAAACACCATCATTTACCCATTGATCTGAAGTGCCAACTTTGCTGCAAATCAACGTTCCTTACATGTCTAGGGATGGGGCTAGGATATTTATTGCTTCACATACTAACTTCTTTCTTTCGATGTGGCAGAAACGGTTGGTCAAGCCTACTTCTTTTTGTTTTTTTTTAATTTTTTTTAACGTTTTATTTATTTCTAGGAGAGAGAGAGACAGCGTGAGCAGGGGAGGGTCAGAGAGAGAGGGAGTCACAGACTCTGAAACAGGCTCCAGGCTCTGAGCTGGCAGTCAGCACAGAGCCCGACGTGGGGCTCGAACCCACAAACCACGAGATCATGACCTAAGCGAAAGTCGGACGCTTAACCAACTAAGCCACCCAGGTGCCCCCAAGCCTACTTCTTTCTGAGCACACCTTGCCACTACCTTTCCCAGCCCTTCTTGGCTTGATGGGGTCACGTGACTGAGTTCTGATGAGAGGTTGACAGAAATCATCTACAGAACTCCCACAGCTGGCCTCTGAATTTCCCATGAGACCTTTCACAGTTTCTTCTCTTGTCTGTGGCAAACACAGAGGATCTGACAGAGTAGGGGGAGTCTATAGTCAGTGGCAGGAGTCTGGGGTTCTGAATATCCACACGATGCTCCTCCCGGCACATCACCATGTACCTTTCCCTCTTCATCTGCCACCACCTGCCTTGAACTTTTGTTATTATCATCACTTGCTTAAACCAATATAGTTGAGAACTGAGTGTAATAGACCTCAGAGTTTTACACTTGTGCATCCTTCCAATATGCAAATGTAAAACTGTCAATAGGGCAGCATGAAGCTGACCCCATGAGAATATAAATTATTATTGGTGAAATAGATTCAGGAGACTGAATCCATTACTATAATACGATCTTTCTATTAATAAGAGGAAAATAGGGCATCCCCTTTTCTCAAGAGGCCATCATACATTACAGCTAACAGTTTACTCTCTACTGGGAGAGAAAGGGGACAGATTACCCCCTTTTTTTTGAAGGTACATGAGAAAGTAACCAGGCCAATCGTACAAGACAGGCATGAAGGTACCAAGACTGAAATGCACATATTTTAATCATTTGGATGGTTTTTTATTTTAAGCATAGTTCAGGTCCAGTGAATGGTGAATCACACTGACAGTAGTTTCCTCATTTTTCCTACCTGAAACCACACATTAATTTTTTCTTCGAATTTAGGGGCAGATGTTTCTGACATCGTTTTTACAGTCTTTTGGTGACGTGGATAAGGTCTCTGTGCTGCCTTGTGCCCTTGGTGGCAGCATGGTAAGCTCAGCCCACGAGTTGGCTTGGTTTCATACAGTACTCTCACTTTCCTGTATAACTTGCTGACTTTGGACAGGTTATCAAATCTCTCTGTGTCCGGACAGTTTTCTCCAAGAGGGAGATTACAGTAGTCTCATTTCATAGGGCTTTTGGGAGAATTAAAGATGATCATTCATGTGAAGCACCTAGAACAGCCCAATATTTAGTTAGTCTTATTAAATGTGGGCTAAGCAGTTTGAGAAATCTGAGCTAATGACCATAAATCCAGAGACAGAAAAGATAGGTGAAAAGCTTAAAAGCTCAACTCGATAGTAGTAGAATTAGGAAGATATGTCTAAATGGAATAAACTCAACTTGATAGTAAGTCGTTGAAATAAAACTTGATAGTTGAAATAAAACTCAGCTTGACAGCAGTAGAATTAGAAAGATATGTTCAAATGGAATAAGCTAATGAAAATGAAAATGTACACTGATTTTACAATTTGATCTAGAGACAGTTGACGCAGTTTTGGCTTCTAAAAAGGTGGTTGCCAAAGGAACCCAAAATTATTAATGTTTTTCTATAAAAATTATAATTGAAAAATTATGAAGCAAATGACTATTGATACATCAGCCCGTGTGATAAATATAATTGGACTATTACAAATAGCCTTTGCTGAAAAGGAGTTAATTGGTCATCTTCCCTTAAATAGTGTCAGATATATTTTCAAGTGATTATTGCATCAACTCATTAAAGGCAAAGAAGGCAACAGAATTAAAAAATATATGAAGCTTTATTGTCAAAAATAGACAAACTTTAATTTCCTTGAACAGGAATATTAATTTCAGAATCTCCATAAGGCATCACCATTTCGTGAGCACAAAAGACAAGAGTCCATGACAACTATCAGTGGAAGAGGGACAGCGGTTCTGCATCCACGCCAGAGAAGCCACGCCCACGGAATCACAGTGACCTTTGGAGCCCTAAACAATAACAGACATGCAAACAAGGTTGACTTATCTTGGCCCCGTCCTATAAAGTTCGGCTTTGCGGTATCGTTCCAAACGTGAAGAGTTCGATTTGTTAGACTGCTTGCTGATTTGAATAGTGAAGTTTTCGGTCACTTATGGGCTCAGCAGCGCCTGCTTTTGAGTAACGTGAGGATGAAGACATTTGTCCCTACAAGCCTGGCCTCAGGTATGTAAAGCGGTGGTACTAATAATTTTGGCACAAGACGCAAATAAGGTCCTTCTGGGTGACTTACTGCAAAAATGTGAGGGTCTCGCTGAACAGAATAGCGTGGAGGGCACACTCTCTCATTAAGATTCAACAAGGATGGCTAGTGACCTATCGAGTCGGAACAAGAAAAAAAATCAGGCCGTTCTTGTTCCCTAGGGACAGGTATCCAAGGTTGAAGAGAACTGGTTAGCTAGACCATGGCTTTCATTCTCTAGTCTGTACTATAAACCAGAACTCCATAGCCAAAGTGGACTTCATAAATAGGCCCATCTTGATAATGAAAAGTGGTAGCATGTACCTATCTCCTTTGAAGATTCAGGTTAAGGACAGATACTTGGGTTCCCAGGAGAAGCCAGGGCCAGACAACACCGACACAGTGAGATGCTTTATCTGAGGTGAAGCATATGTAATAACGAAAAGAAGCTACATTATCAAGCAAATGAGAAAAGAAGTGGATCTGAGAACTCATTTCCCATCCCCATACACATTCACCAGTGCACGAGTAATCAACTAGATGCCAAAAAATCAGTTCAACACTTTCCATTTCTCTGGTTGAAAACTAACATTCAATACTTGAGCACTAGAAAAATAGGGTTGTATTGTACCATAGTGCAAACAACACCGTGGTTACTGAAATGACAATATGTGCTTTCGCCACGTCTTTGAAACAGAAGCACACACACTGTCGGTGCAAGGAAACACGGAAGGAGCTCTGTTCTTGGTGAGACATCGCTTATCCACTCCCGTGTGGGGTTAACTTTTAATTAATTAAGTTCGCCCACTGAATTCTACCCTCCAGCCTAGGAACCCTTCGTATTTGAGTAGGGGCAGGAAATAGGTGCGGGCTTCTGGAAGTTTGAACAGGCTAAGCATCATTAAGTTTCTGTGACCGAAAGGATCACTCTGAAAACATACAGAAAAAAGAGCCATATGAAAACCAAACCAAGCACAGTTGGCTTATAGTCTCTTTAGCAAGACTACCTGGAAAAAGCGAGGTCAAATAGAAAACTAAAGTGGGTTGCTGCTTTTCATTCCATGCCGTTTTGGGAAAACATGTGATATACTCAGAGAATGTACACTTTCTCGGGTCCTTTTCAAAAGCCATGAAATCAGCCTCTTAGTTGGGTTGCTGTCAATGTGGAGGCATGGAAGGGAGATGACTCAGTTTGGGGTTTCTTGCTGAGAGCAGGCAGGGTGACTACAAATGACTCTCAGGGGGCAGCTGTGCAGTTTTATTACCCAATTATAAGAAGGACCTTTAAAATGTTTCCTTCTCAGCACTCTTCAATGACTGTTGTTCCAATCAAGGAGTAAAGCTTTTTCTTAACGAGGCGGAATCCCGAACTCAGGATCAGAGTTCGCCTGAGGCCAGATGAGAAGCGACCTCGGCTGAAGAAAAAGTCCCTGAAGCTAGTCCACGAGCAGTTCTCCTGCTTAAACACAAGTGTGAGCTCGAAAGTGGGCACCACACTAGAATCGCACACAATCTTATCCAGCTTTTTACATACGTTTTCAATTTCCAAGTTCACGTGCATGACACAACCTCGCAGGCCGCAGGGCTCGGTAGAGGAAAGCCGCAGGACATCTTGAGCAATTCTCTGGGTCAGTTTCTCAGGGACAAGGACTTTTGAGCAACCAAGCTTGGTTTGCTTTGATTTGGACAGACAGTTCTCCAGCATTTTAACCAAACTCTGGCACGTTGTCTCCTCAAATATCACCTCATTGAGGTTGGGTTCAGGAACAACATAATCCCAGTAGTCAAACTCTGTAGAAAATGGAAGTTCAAGATGAAAGAAAGAAACACACCAAGATGGCAACATTGCTTACTTCTATCTACCATGTCTACCTGTTGCTAGTACTTGTTTGGGAGTCAGGAGGCTTCACTCTGCTGTTAAAAAGCTGGGTAACACAGCAAGTCCCTGGACCTCTCTGAGACTAGAAATTCATCTATGGGATAAAGGTTTTGCTACATAGGATGGCTAGGATATAACTTTTCTATATACTTACATGTGTACACATGTACAAAATCCATATACAGTTATCTGAGAATACCAGTGATATTCTTTTCTTTCTTGCTCTGAGAATTTTCTAATTTTGTTTTACACAGAACACATATTACGTCTGGAATAAAAGTGGTTATAATTTTTTTTTTTTGTTTTGATGGACTGTTACTTCCAAAGATTATACGTGTTTTTTCTTGTAAAATGCAGATTTTTTGCTCCTGCTCCTTAGTGATGAACTTAAGATGACCTTGCTGAGTTACATTAAATATTGAATGTGTGTCTTTCTTTCACAGTCTCTACTGGAATGGTCTGCAGATCCCAATTTTAGCTTCAACCTCTCTGATTAAAAACTGCTCAAAGGGAAGACCTTTGAGGTTGACGAGGATATTTATAACTGGCTGGGTAGCTGTCGTAGCCAAGCAAAACAAAACAGTCCTAGGAAAATAAAATTAGATTTGCTCAAAGGAAAAGAGATACTCTGCATTTGGTCACCTACCTTCCAAATTAATCCTACCACTTGGCAGAAGGCCACTACACACACACACACACACACACACACACACACACACCACACACACAGAGTCAAGTGCGCAAGGCTCCCCTCCCCAGACATACTCCACCTTCATTGGTCCTGCCTTTTCCTCTTTCCACATCATGCATTTGGTTAGATCATTTTTTAAAATAATAAAATGAAACAAATACACTCCAAATTATAAGGCTCCATATTTTACCTAGATTGAAGACAGAGAATTTTAGAGCTTTGGCCTATAAAATTAGGTCATCAACCACTTTGCCTTCTAAATGAGGAAGGACCAGAGATCTTAAGCAATTTGTCCATGCCACACAGCTCCTTAGTGGCACAGCAGTGTGTTAACCTAGAAACTGCTGCTTAAAATTGCAAATGGAAATACGTCCAGCACCACCGCAGTTTTAAAATTTCCTTTTGGCATTAAAAACAGAAGACTAGGTATATCCACAAATAGAATACTACTCAGTAATCAAAAGGAGCGCTTACTGATCTAAGCCATAACATTAAAAAGGATCTCCACATCATGAGGCTGAGGGAAAGGAATCAGATGTAAAAGTACCTATTACATGATTCCATTTGTATGAAACTGTAGAGGCGAAACGAATTTATGGAGACGAAAAGCAGATCAGTGTTTCCCTGGGGGCAGGGAAGGGCGAGGGTGGAGAACTGACGGCAAATGGGTACATGAAAATTTCAGGGGAAGGGTGATGGCAGTGGTTATAAGGATGGACACATTTGATGAAACACAAAACTGTTCACTTAAAATTCGCCATAACTTCACATCCCCATAAGGAACCTATACAACTTTTAATCCCAAACAGCCTGTTAGCCGCAAACTAGACCATGCAGCCTTCGGTTATTTTATTTTTTGCTGCTTTTGTTTCTCACTATAATGTGCAGAAGATGCTAGAAAGTTTGGAAAGGCTTTTCAAATGGATTCTGTAGTACTCCAGACATCAAGGAAAAAGGCGCCACCGCCCGCCCACCCATCTCTTCCATCCAGGGGCTTCGACCTTTGGTGTAGAGAGTGGCGGGCAGATGGGAAACTCACCATTTAGCAGGCTCCCCGGGTGGAAACCATGGTCCAGCAACTCTGAAATGCTGCCCGGGTTCTTACTGCTCAAACTGCCAGTTGCAACCATGGTCAACGGCTCCGTTTCCCTCGCGGGGCGGAACGGCCTTTCCAGGGCGCTGGAAAAAGAAGGTAAGAAGGGCAGATTTGCAAAAGGAGGCAAGACGTGCAGAGGCTTCTAAAATGCCCAGCGTCGCGGAAGCAAACTAGCCCAACCAGTCATTTTCCAAAGGGAAGAACCGGTCTCCTTTGGAGTCCCCTGAGTCCCTTTTGCAACTCAAGTTTACAAAGCCCCCGGAGTGGAGACGCCGGCTACAGCCGCAACCTAAAACGAATTCAAAGTTAGCAAAACTTGGAGCCAACTTGTCCCGCGGGGTTCACCCCTGCGCCCGGAACTGCGTAGCCCTCCGCCCCTGCTCCCTCCCCCAAGACCGCAGCCTCGCTCACCTGCCTGGAGTTCGCTGGGGCGGGAGCGCTCGCCGGCTGGGCTGCGGGGTAAACCGAGGCAGGCGCTATCCCCAAGGCGCCTGCTCCCTCGGAAGCTCAGAGACCTGCAGACCCGAGCAGCGACCGGCCCCTCGCCCACGCCGTACCCGCTCCACCAAGCAGCAGAGACCCTGGGGCCGCGAGCACTTTATAGGCCCAGCCTTCTCACCCAGGCGCGGCCCGCCCACCTGCACCACCCCTCCCTGGCCCTGCGCCCCGCCCTTCCCGGGGTCGGTTCGCATTTCAACCCTGCCACTAGCAGCAGCCCAAGGGGAGCCGCTGGGAAACTGAGGATAAGCTTGCGGCAGGGTAGACACCTGCTGTCTCCTGGGTGGGCCGCAGGTCGCCGAGTCCGCAAATCCGGGTGCCCAACTCGCCAACATCTGACCGCTCCCCTCCCACCGCTAACTTGGATTCTCCGGCGCGACCCCACCCCCAGCGCGCGCGCACACTCTCGTGCGGCTGGTGCCCGTGTTAAGATTCCGGCCCGGGCAGCGGCAAGCTTTCCGCCCTTTCCGTGTGTTACTGTGACTCGAGGCTTGGCTGTGTCTTCCTGAACACGTTGCTTATATATCTGCTTCGATGTTCAGTGAGCATCATTTATGCACTTAGCTCTGGCCTCTAACCAAGTCAACTCCGCTCGGTGTAGGTCCCAGGTTTCCACCTGCTCCCCTTCTGCCCTCGGTCAGATCTAGTTGGCCTCTTGCGCCTCGGAGGCTCTCCAGCATTTTCGGAAGGGCTTCATCCCCCAGTGCACTCCCGGCCGTCTTCCTGCGGTTTCGTCTATGACTAATAACGTTTTCTCCGCGAGAGGGGTGAGGCCTGGGACTCTTCTAATTAGACCTGGCTCCAGAGCGCCGGGAGCTTGAAGGAAGGGGAGTTTGCCACAAAACTAAAGCAAAACCATTAGGGGGACCTTAGCTGCTGCTTTGCCTGATCTTAAGGAGCAATTGTCATTCCCAGAGGTAGCTCTGTCTGGCTAGCCCTGTTAGGGGGAGACACCTGGTCGTGGGCAGCCTTGAAGGGGCTTGGGCGATGAAGACACCGAGTTTTAGACCCTGCTAGGCAGGAACGATCCGTGTGTGGCTTGCTGAACACTCCTGAACCGAGCGCACCTAGAAGACAGAGGAGCCGCGCACAGTCAGCCTGCACGCACAACCCTGGAGGGAGCAGGAGGCCAAACATTTTCTTTCAGAGTCACTAGGACACCCTTTTCCTGCTTTTGACGTGCAGCAGGAGAGGGTCTGCTCCCAACGAGGTGGGTCAGGAGAGGCGAGGGAGGGGAAGACTTTCTACAAGTAGAAGGTTCTGGTGGTGTCTCCTGGTCTTCGGGGATTATGTGTACGAAGATCTGTAGGTTAGGGCCTTGAGAAGCAGATTTAGCTGTCCGGGCTAAAAACTCTCAGTAAGAAAAACAACAACAGAAGGGGTAAGGAGAGTGTGATAAACAGATCAGTGGGAGGAGATCGGGAGGCAGAGCAGCAGAAATTAAGGCCAGCTTGACAGTCCATTTTTAACTCGACTCTGGCAGCTGCACTGCCTGAAGGTCAGGCCAGCCAAGGAAGGAGATGCTGATAGGCTGATCTTTGAAAGCAGATTTCCACTTCTATTTCAATAACAGAAAAGTGGGAAACAAACAAGCCCACTTAAGCCGATTAAAAAGCAGTTTCAGTGGCCCGTGTGTTCAGGACCAATAGATGGGCGCCTGCGCCTGTGTCCCCAGCAGCTGCCCAGCAATGTGGGGGGTGGAGGAGAGGGCAAACCGCAGAAACGACTTTCCTTATCTCGGTGGCGATATTAATTAATGAGGCTGCCTCTTACCTGCCTCCCAGGAGAGTTATTCGGATTGATATAATGAGTGGCCTGAACCTACATCAACGAAATAAAGAAATCACCCAATTCATTTCCCTTAGGGTATTTAGGCAAAACTCATAAACTAAGTACTCCCAAAGGACCAGAAAGATTATTGGGCTTTCTAGAACATGGCAGTTGCTCTTGGCTCACCCCACTAACTGAAATTTTGCAAAGCCCTTTGGGATTTTACTGCAGAAAATAATTTACCTATGTACAAAAGACTGAATAATATTCTTTCTGGCTGAATGGGCCTAGCTTTTGGGAATTACAGGGCATAAGGAATGATTGATGTGGAACACATACTTGGGAGAATTAGTGCAGCTTGTCCCCTTTCATCTACTTACAGGGTAAAATATTCATTCTATCAGCCGTTTGCATCTTTGTGGGGTTAAATAAAGAGACCTGATTTTTAAAAATCAGAATTTGGAAAAACTAAGGGCTATTATAATCTTGTAAGAGATGACACACTGTCTATTAATTTTTAAGTGTTGTGGATATAATTAATTATAACTGAAGGTTCATCACATGGGTGTACCTCAAGTTTATGAGGTAGTGATGAAGTCCATTTCATTGCTGTTTTCTTACATCCTCTCTAATACTATATAGATAGTTTGCAAGGGTGCTTACTGGAAATAATAGTTGAATATGAAGAGAAAATCTAATTGGTTAAATAATTTGATTGCCTTTCATAAATGAATGTAATATAGCAAACTACCGAAATCATAAGTAAGGCCTTTTAAAAAAAAATCTTTTTAAGTTTATTTATTATTAAGAGAGAGCACAAGCTGGGGAGGGGCAGAGAGAGACCCACATACAGAGAATCTGAAGGAGGCTCCAGGCTCTGAGCTGTCAGTACAGAGACCGATGCAGGGCTCAACGCGATGAACTGTGAGATCATGACCTGAGCCACAGTCAGGGCCTTAACCGACTGAGCCACCCAGGTGCTTCCCATAAGTAAGGCCTTTAACTTAAGAATACTTTTTTATTACTATGATTTACTCATCTCTCTTCTTACAAAGAAGAAAAATAGTGGTCACATGTGGCAACAGTATGTTCATTGGATATATATATATAAATATTGAAGTTCCATGCCCCCCTCCGGTCTACCTAAAGTATTCATAGTATCATTGCTCACATCAAGTGTTAATTCAGAATATCAGGGGTACTACAGAAAATGAAAAACATATATGGTGCTTTAATATATTATTCTAGGAAAAACTGCTGTCTTGTGCATTCATGATTTGGATGGAGTGTTGAATATTCATTACATGTTTTACCAGCCATTTCTTTTCTCTTTATCCACCGTGAGCCATTTTTCTTGAGCTCTTATTAATACATTTATATCCAATGCACTGCTTATTTAATATCATAAATTATGACATCAGAGGAAAAATGACTGGGTTTCTTAAACTGTATGATTGATTCAGGGAGGATTTATAGGACATGGAAGTCCCTTGGCAAGCTCACAAGAGTTTGTTGTGAGATTAAAAAAGAAAGCCTTATAATCAACACTAATGACCTCTTTTTTATAAAGAAATCCGAGATCTTTAAAGGTACCCTCTCTCTGACTTTCCTTGGTTATGCTAAAATTGTGAATCTAGTACTCATGTGAAGTTTTAGAACAGGGTCTGGTACAGAGCAAGTGCTTAATGAGTGATAGCTATTGTTATTGCAGTTATTACAGTTTCTGAAATTTTAGTTCTTTGTTGTAATGCAGCAAGCCCTATGGGGCTAAATGGGATTGGAGAAGTATTGTTAGAACAGAACAAAATTTATTGTCTTTCCTGTTTGCAGGAAATATGGAAAGTATTTGCCACTGATTGGGAAAGACTTTTTTTAAAAAGTGTTTTTATTCATTTTTGAGAGACAGAGAGGGACAGAGCATGAGGGGACAGAGGGAGGGACAGAGAGAGAGGGAGACAGAATCCAAAGCAGGCTCCAGGCTCTGAGCTGTCAGCACAAAGCCCGAAGTGAGGCTCAAACTCACAAACCATGAGATTGTGACCGGAACCGATGTAGGATGCTTAACCGACTGACCTACCCAGGTGCCCCAGAAGAGACTTTTTCAAAATTACAGTAAATGTATAACTATATGGAGAAGTAGGAAGGAGATCTCTCAATGATATGTAAGAAAGTAATATGGGTACAAAATTTTCTTGATGGAAAATACAGAGTTATTATGTACTAACTTATCTAGGAAATGGATTTCGGGAGAAAAATTTATAAGTATTTAGAATCACTGATTGTCAAATTTTCAAGATATGTACGATACTCTGTTAACATTCTGGATGAGATATTTCCTTGTCTTTGAGGGTGCTCCAACCAATAAAATTACAGTTAAATGATGAAATACGCAATGAGTTAGTCTATAGAATAACAAAAGATTTTCCATTAAGTAAGATAATGTGAAGACTTAGTATAAGACAAATAAAAGGCCCACTGGAAAATAATACATAATATCTGCTGCTAAAAGCTGAGAGAAACTTCCAGTAGCAGAAGGCATTGCCTTTCTGAATTCAAGCAGAGAAATGGTTACCATAGTGACTTATCTCTTGAAATAGTTGTATGATTTCATAAACAATGTTATGTATTATCTTTCTTTAAATAAAAAAAAGCTGATATGTTTAAATGCACACAATCCCTGCTTTTCCTTAATCACACCAAGATTTGTAATTTGGGAGCCCGTGTAAGAAAACGTCAGCTAGGAACATGGAGAAGTTCCTTGACACTTTTCTAGGAATAGCCCTTAAAACCTTGTCAAGTTCCAGATCTGGGAATGCCACCATGACCTACCATTCCTCTGGAATTCTTACGCGCACAAAGACAAGAAAGGGAAATAAAGCTACGTTTTTGTGTAGATGCTGGTCCTTCATCGGTCCCTTTCCCTGACCAGCCAAGTGTCTTAGTCTGGCGGCCAACCTCTGCACAACTTTTGTCATTCATATTTGTGTCCCAGAAAAGTTACACTTTGCTTCATGACATAAACCTGTAGTGTTGCACAATTGCTAAATCCAAGAATGCCCGCATGTGAACTAGATAGAGAAATCTGCAAAGTAGTCTTTAGAATGGGTCTGACCCCCACTCTGCAGATGTAAAGAACAATGATGTTAAAAAGCTTGGGAGACAGAGATTCTGTTTTTCTATCTTCATGGTGTAGCAGTTAGACATAGGGACGGTGGGGCCTGACTGCCACCTTCATTTCCCAGCAATGACACTAATTAGCTATATAAACGTTGATAATGCACT